CTTTAATTTCAGGAAATTAATACTGTGCTAGGGTCATTGGATGTGCAGTTGACAACGTTGTTTGAAAGGCAGAAACATCTGGAACGAAAAGACAATGAACTTAGACAACAGAAGAAGGAGCTTTTAGAGAGAGGAAACAAAAGAAGACAGTTAGAATCAAAAATTGCTGTGAAGCATGACAGGTAGGAATTCGAACAAACTGTGTTGTATATGAGACAAGAACGGTTTTAATGATTCCTTCTACTGTGGTGTGTTTTTATTCTTATAGAGTAACCAGGAGTTGAACATAGCATATATGTGATGATCAAGATAAAGAGGATGTTTGGAAATTGAGAGACTACTTAACAACGTCTTACATAGATTAATGTAATAATCATAGGACTTCTGTGAGGCATCACTGCATTCATTTATCTAGACATTACTATGGTCTTTTGTCCATAGAATCATAGAACACTTAAGGTTGGAAGGGACCTCTAGAGGTCATCTAGTCCAACCCCCCTGCACACGCAGGGTCACCTAGAGCACGTGGCCCAGGACTGCGTCCAAGCGGGTTTTGAAGATCTCCACAGAAGGAGACTCCACAACCTCTCTGGGCAGCCTGTTCCAGTGCTCTGTCACCCTCGCTGTTAAGAAATTTTTTCCTTAAGTTCCTATGGAACTTTTCGCGTTTCAGTTTGTGGCCATTACCTCTAGTTCTGTCAGTGGCCACCACTGAAAGAGACCAGCACCATGCTCCTCACTGCCTCCCTTGAGGTACTTATAGACACTGATTAGATCCCGTCTCAGTCTTCTCTTCTCCAGGCTGAACAGGCCCAGCTCCCTCAGCCTCTCCTCATAGGGCAGATGTTCCAGGCCCCTGATCATCCTTGTGGCCCTGCGAAAAAACTTCTTAATGCACCCCAGGATCCCATTGGCCTTCTTGGTCACAAGGGCACACTGCTGCCTCATGGTCAACTTGTCATCCACCGTGACACCCAGGTCTTTCTCCGCAGAGCTGCTCTCCAGAAGGTCAGTCCCCAGCCTGTACTGGTGTCTGGGGTTATTCCTCCCCAGGTGCAGGACCTTGCACTTGGCCTTGTTGAATTGCATGAGGTTTTTCACTGCCCAGTTGTCCAGTCTGTCCAGGTCCCTCTGGATGGCAGTGCAGCCCTCTGGGGAATTGGCTACTCTTCCTAGTTTGGTATTATCAGCAAACTTGCTGAGGGAGCACTCTATGCCTTCTTAAGTATGTGCCTTCTGCACATGCTTAAATGACCCCATAAAATGCATAAAGAGTACTGAGAAAGAAAGTTGGATACTGACTATCCAAGCATTTAACCTTCTTTTGTGGCTTTGTGGTGCTCTGCAATTAGCTCTTCTGTCAGGGGGCAAAGCCTTGTCGTGATTCAAAGGAAACTCTGCTTCAGAACATGCTCTCGAAAGGCATTATAGACAGACACCCCCAGGTATCACATCCTGTACAGCTGTACAACACTCTCTCAGCAGACTGTACCCTCGAGTACTCCTGGGTGTTATTGTGGTGCACTGTTTGTTTGGTAAGAACACGACAACGGTCCTTGCCTGCACAGCTCTCACACTGCTTCTGCAGTGCAAGAGGGAAAAAAAAAAAAGGAAAAGAACCTTACCCTTCCCCGCTTCCTGCCCCCCGCCAAAAAAAAAAAAAAAGAAAAAAAGAAAAAAGGAAAAAAAAAAAAGCCCTAGAGCTGTAGGAGTGGTAAGTGGCCAGTTTGTCATGAAGAGAGGTAGCCTCAAACAGGGTGATGTGAGCTTAGCCTCCAAGCCCGTATTGTTTGCTGTGTGTCTTTTTAGGGACACAGATATGCTTGCTTTCTTTATTGTTGCCTTGCTTTACAAGGATACAAGGCAGGAGAGAGATGAACCCTCTGCCTAAATTACCTCAATATTTGATTAAATTTTCTCCCAGAAAGGTATAATTTCATTCTTTAGAGGATTGCTAACACAGTAACAGAGAAGGCTCTTACGAGATGTGTTGTTCTAACGTAGATGTGTTTTTCTATAGAGATAGAAATGAGTTTCAATATGCCTTGTATTGACTATAACCATTCTTAGACGTAATAGATTTTCATATATCAAAATTTCTAAATAAAGCTGAACGTAATTTTAAAGTTAATATACAATTACAGCATCACGGATGTTGGAATGGACTTTAGGAGCTCTTGAGTCCAACCACCTACTCAAAGCAGGGTCAACAGTGAATTCAGACCAGGTTGCTCAGGGCTTTATCTTGTTGCATTTTGAAAAGCTCTGTGGAGACTGCACAGCCTCTTTGGGCAACCTACTCTGCTGCTTGGCTGCCCTCATGGAGGGAAAAAGTATGTCCAGACATCCAGCTTAGGCCTCTCTTGTCTTGGCTTATACTTGTTGTCTCTCCTCCTTCTCCTGTGCACATCTTTAAAGGGCCTGGCTGTGTTCTGTCAGTATCCACATGGGTTTTGGGGGTTGCTGTTAGGTTGGGCCTGTTAAGCCACGTTTTCTCCACGCTGAGCAAGTTGAGCTCTCCCAGCTTCCCCTCAGAGGACCTGTGCTGCAGCTTCCCACCACCGCGGTGGCCCCTCACTGAGCTTGCTCCAGTTTTTCAACATCTACTAACGTATGTGGTGAGGTGTGAGATGGGCGCAGGATCTAGATGCAGTCTAGTGAGCACCGAGCAGAGGGGGTTGATTGCTTTCCTCGAGCTGCTGGCTCTGCTTGTGTTCGTACAGTCCAGATTGGTGCTTGTTGCTGGCACTGCCAGGACATGCTGCTGGCTCCCGCTCAGCTTGCTCCCCAGCAACATCCCGGATCCTTCCTCATAAACCTGCTTCCCCAGCTTGGATCACTGTCGGGATCACAGAATCATAGAATCACAGAATGCTTAAGGTAGGAAGGGACCTCTAGAGATCATCTAGTCCAACCCCCCTGCACACACAGGGTCACCTAGAGCACATGGCACAGGACTGTGTCCGAGCGGGTTTGGAAGATCTCCAGAGAAGGAGACTCCACAACCTCTCTGGGCAGCCTGTTCCAGTGCTCTGTCAATCTCTGTCTCATCACTGCTCTTCCTTCCCGGTGGAAGCATTCCGCATTTGTTCTCACTCCGTAATTTTTCCAGGGATTGAAAGTAAGGCTGGCTGCTCTGTAGTTTCCTGGATTATGCCTTTGGCCTTTTCTGGATGCTTTGCATCGACCTGAAGAGCACAGTTGTCTAACTTGAGGTTTATCCATCTGTAATTAATGCATGTGATATTTAGAGTAAGTGAAAATTGTAGTTTTCTGCAGTGTGCAATAGCTAAGAACATTGGTTTCTTACTAATATATGCAGCAAGAATTAAACTTAACTCTACCACATTGAATTGTTTCAAGGAAACAGGAAAAGAAAATTGCTGCCTTTGCTCTGGTGTTTTTTTTTTTTTTTTTTTTTTTTTTAAATCTGAAATGAACGAAAATAGATAAGCTTGTGCTTGCTGAGTACCTACATTCATACAAAATTCGGTATTCTTTAATTATACTTTTTCTGTTTTCTGAACTTTTTATATTTAAAATGTGTTCCTCTAGTATCTGTGAAATGTTTAGAAATGCAAATTCAAATTCAAATTCAGCTTCTTGCAAACTGACAGTTTATCACAACTGAGATTAAGAATTATGGTATTTCTATACTATCTTTTTTAAAAAAATCAGGATTAACAATATATTATTTCTTCCTGTAGTTTAAGAGAGATGGAGCAGGATGCTATCAATCTAGAAGATGAGTCTCGAAAAGCAAATGTGCAGATCAAAGAAATAAATGCCCAAAAAGCAAAGCTTGTTACAGAATTAATGCATCTTGTAAAGGTATATATATGTTTTATTTACTTTAATAAGTGTGCCCTTGTGAAAAAAACAATTCTTATAGCATAACTAGGAGGTATGCAAAATTTGGCTATCTTAATATAAAAATTGATGAACTAACTTGCTTGAAGAAACATTTTTAAAAGCTTTGTTGAACTTCATCTGTTGTTAACTCAATTTGTATAGCATTTCTTTCCTTTGATTTATGCTTTTTCTCGTTGAAATCTTCCAGTCCATGGAGTGATCCAGTAAATAAAAGTGTGAGCTGCGTAACTATTTCAGTCTGTACATTTTCAGAATACTTCATGTTTCAGTATGCCCTTTGCTGCTTCTTGGTTCATATCTCAATTTCTTTGCTTTTGTTGGAGAAAGAGTGGTCTTTAGTCCTCATTCTAAGAATATAAAAGATCTTCCCCACAGAATACTGTTAATTGATAATGAGAAACTAATTCCTGTAGCCTGACTCTTTTGTTCATTGATATTTTTAGATGTAATTTGTATTCCATTTTTACGTATTTTGTTTGTATAATTCATTTTTAACTGAGTATTTGGGGAAGAACTGGCTTGTCACTGTAAGGATTTGTGATTGCAGAATGGGGGGTAGGATGGGAAAAAGACTCGGTTCTTAAGCTCCAGCATCATGAGTGACATTTATATCTATGTCTGCCTGTCTGTCTGTTTCTCAATCTTTTCTCAGCTCAATTTCCACCTCCTCCATTACCATAAATAAATAAATAGGCAGCTCTGATTTTTAAGCTTTTTTTTTTTTTTGGCTATAACTGTAAGCCCCTATAATGGGACCTTCCACTGGGTGAATTTTCTTAAGGAATGAGAGTGAGAGAGAGAGTGTTTTCTAGCAGTGTTTTCTAGCTTATCACTGAAAAGAGGTGAGTATAACATTGAGACTGATTTCAGTATAATGATTTTATTCCAAATGGGTGTCCTATTACTGTGTGGTGATAGCCATGGACAGCAATACTTGGAATGTATTTGGAGTGTGTCTCAGGTAGCCAGAGCCATTTTGAAAATGCTGAAGAATGGCAGAAGATGCCTGGCATGTTAAAACGGTTAAATGATTAAACTTTTAGATTACTTCAGAAAAGTTAACTTCTGGGCATGTTCCAGTTGTAAAGTGCAAACCAAGTACAACCTGCCTGAAACATTCTTTTAACTGCTGCTTTACCCTGTCTAGAAAACTGGATCCGAGACATACAGTGTATTTTTCAGCAATTCAGGAGGGGTGCATGTGGGAAAACAGGTATTTGCCTGAAATAGTCATCGATTAAAAGAGATTTTTCTTTTGCTTGTGCATCAGCTAAATATTGATGCTTTGTGTGCTATGAGAAATATATGCTAGAACATGGTGAAGAAACCAAAATGTTTGATTCAAGGAAGATGTTTCATAATACCATTTGTCAAAATAATCAAAATGCTGATGTTTCTGTTCTTCCCCAAAGCATTCCTCATGAACGCTTTGAAGTCTGTGGGAGTCCTTCTGTCATCAAAAGGCTTTTGTAGTTATATTAATTATAAGCTCAAATGACTAAATCTTACCCAAACCTGTGGTTAGGGCATACTTAATTTGCCAGAGAAGGAGACCTAAAACTGTATGGGATGTTTGTGTCTGCATGGTAACAACGTGGCCTACTACTTTTGCTAAGATGTTGTGGGGCTTGTGTGGAACAAATAGCCACCTTATGTAAAGACTAGTACTAGAATGCATAGAGTGCTTACACCCACAGGAATGTTCACTTCAGAAACATTCTCGTGTCTCTAAAGCAGGCGCAGAAGGGAGACTGTTTTCTTTATGAACGTTCAAAGCAGAATGTACCTGATGCGCATGAATTCGTCAGTTGACAAAAACAGAGTTTTTCCACCTTTTCAAATGCCAGCAGAGCTTTTGCATGTAGCTCTTTTTGTGCAGTTGTGAGTTGTGAGTCTTTTAGCTTCCTCTGTTTTCATCCTTCTTCATTAAGACTTTCTTCTGGTTTGGCGTTTTTTTTGTTTGTTTGTTTTTCTTGTGTCATAATTCACTCTGGACTTAATTTAGGTGTGCTTTCACGTTCTCTCCAAAGAGGAGATAAAGTTGAAATACTGGAAACTTTGTTAGTAAGAAATGCTGAAGATCTCAAATCTTGAATCACCCGTGTGCTCAGATGCTAACACTCTTCATCCTGCATATCCACCAAGCCTGCAGCTGGCACCTTGTGCTCTATTTCCTTGACAGGAGATTCTTTTGTATTTTTATGCAGATTGTAAGAAAGACTTTGAGCCATTCTTTCATTGCTTCACAATCCTAGGTGATTTGATGATTTTTGAGTCTCAGAGGCTGGTTTGTCTAAAGCAGCAATGATTTCCCTGTCAAAGTTGTCAGACTAGATGGTGGGGTTCACTAAAGCCTGTTAGAAGGCTGCAGGGTGAAACCTGCTTTTGTCGTCTTAACCTGTTGAAGTTAAGACATGAGAGTGCATATGCCAAGTGGTTGCTGTGTTAGGAGAGGGGCATGCAGAGCTTGTGTGGTACTTGGTCATTGTTGGTTGTGTGAAGATCCTGTGCCTGTGTTTGTGTGTGCAAGACCTTGGGAGAGTGTCGTGGCTTCTGCCATGTACTTCACATATTGTCACTTGTACTGCCAACAGAGGCATGTATCTTACCTTGACCCTTTTCTTTGTTTTTGAGTTATGAAAACTGCCTTCAGTCCTTCTGAGAGACTGAATCGAGGTAGCTCTGTGAATTCTCACACTTTGCATCTGAGTATATTTTGAGGAGAGAGCAAGAACATGGTTTTTGGTGTACAGACATAAATTGTTTAGTTGCAGGTGATACATAATAGGCTTTCAGAATAAGAATAGAGGTGAACTACACATTTTTGAAGAATGTGGGTTACTATTGAGTTGCCTTTCTTAAATTTGAAAAGAAAGAATGTAGTTGAAGAGCTGAACACAATTGGAGGTTATATGCTAAAAATACAATTGTTAAAATATGATGGCATTTCTATCAGTCTTGAGTCTCTCCTGGAAAATACTGACACTTTCTGTTTTCCCATCTAGGATTGCATATCACTGAACATCACCAAAACAGACTTAGTTCTTCAGAGTGCTTCAGTGGCTGCAGAGAGGAACAGACTAGAATTAGAGCATAAAGCAACAAATGTACAGCTAAGAGCTGCGGAGGTAAATATTTATGCAATTACTAGGAAGTTCACTATAAAAAGAGCCTTTAGGTGTGGGCTTTACAGAATAGGAAAGAATGCTTCTGTGCCTTTCTTTAGAAATGGGTATTGTCATTGCTAAATATTCAGCCTTGATTTCTATAACTTGATTCCTTACTGTAGCCTCTTCATTTAAAGTTAAAAACAAGCTTTGCCTTTCTTTATTAAAGCAGCTAAGCTCTGGAAAAAAATAGTGACCATTTATCATTTCCTGGATTTAGTTTTTATGCTGCATATTCTAGCTGAGAAGCCCGAATGTTCCTCAGAAGCATTCTTTCTCCTGAGTCTTTGGCAGATAAATAAACCCAACCTGCTGTAGCCTCAGGACCAACCAGAAAGTAGTGTAACAGAGTGGAGCTGAGCTGTAATGTTGTTTTCTTTCATAGCTGTTTTCTCATATAGTAATTAAAGACATTTCTTTGAAGAAAGAGAAGAGGGATAAACAACTCTTCCATTAATCGTATTAGGAAGCTGTGCAGTATTCGGTAGAAAGACCATCTCTGTAGAACTAGCATGACAGACAGGTACTCTTTTTCTAAGTGCAGAGGTAGCTGTGATCTCCATTGGGTTGGTGGTTGGAGGTCAGGGTTTGTATTTGCTTAGGGAACAGGCAAACTTGCAAGGTACTGGGAGAAAAAAGGAAAAAAAATATTACTGGGTATTTTTTTCCTTATTTTTGAAGTGTTATTTTAGCTACGGCCTAAAATTTATTCAATTTGATCCACAAAAATAATTGCGTGCTAAACTAGCACTTCAGAAGGTAAGTAGTCTTTATTTTGGGTTGCTGTGCACTTCCAGAAAGACTGACCATTGCGTATCTTGAGAAAACTACTGAAGATTATAGGTATTGTTACTTGCAGAGAAATTAGGAAAGGGAGGTCTTCAGCAAAGTCCAGCATGTTACTTGAAAGGTCACTATTGCATCAGATTTCTAGTTTGCTATTCCTGTTATTTGTACTCTTATCAAGTGAAGAATAGGAATGTATCACAAAGGCATGAACTTCATGCATTGTCTGTGTCCTCAGTGGCAGATGCATTTAATATTTTTCAGTCCTCCACATGCCTGTTGTCTTTATGAAATGTAAGCTTGGAGCACTTTGTGAATAGATGCCTTTCATTAGATCAGTAGACTGGCCTTCTAAGATTAGCATTCTGATAATTCTTCACTTAGCAAAAGTTACCTCCTTTTGCAGTGACCAGATGTTTGACCTAGCAGAGGCGCCCGTAGTCATTGTTATAGGAAGCCCTATCAGAACTCATACTTTGGGTGGCTGCTTTAGTCAGTTTTGGCAATATTCAAATTCTAGTTTAAAGCAGTAATCCCAGTGGTTAGAGGTGTGAACAAACAACTACTTTGGAGGAAAGCTCTTAAGGATTGTTGTACATCTTTTGTTTTCACTCACATTGAAATCCAAAGTCTAGTTTCCCAAGATCCTGCCTGATGACTTAGGTCTTTGGCCTCTTCTTAAAATTCTAAGTCTCATGTATTCCTTTGTAATTAATTGATGTATGTTGTGCACTTGGGGTTGGGTTTTGTTTTATTTTCTACTTTAGGATGCTCTTTGGGGGGAGGGAAAAATCAGTATTTCTCAGTTGAATTATTATCTCAAACTGCTATAATTTGAAATGATAACATTTAAAGTGCCTCCTTCTTGTTTATTTCTTCATAGTTATTTTGCGATAAGTATGTTTCTGCAGCAGTTCTGTGTTAAGGTAGTCTTGTTCCAAAATAGTCCTTGAAGATGCCATCACAACACTGTGGAAGGGTCATACAAACAACTGCTGCATGTTTTTATGAAATAAGTAAGCCTTTGAAAAGCCAAACAGAAGTAGAAATAAGTACGTTGGACAAAAGCTGTGCAGTGAAACTAATTGGTGCCTAAATATTATGACTGTGTCCATTAATTTATGTGTAATCATCGGGCACTTCTGTAGGTCGTATGCTGTGTTGATGCATTCATTGAAGTTGGAATGGTGGGAATCAGCCAACAAAGCTGTAAAAGTTTGCTAATGCTTGGGATTATTCGTGACGTTTACATCCCAAGCAATTTTGAGTCGTTAAAGTATCTGAATAAATATCTGATGAAGTTTGAAGCAAACATAAATGCACTTCTTCCGTCTAAAAGAAGATCACATATGTTCCTTTTACGAGGTCTTGGCACTGGAATACTGTGGAGAGAGCTGCATGCTTGTTGCTTTGTGATTTTTTTTTTTTTTTTTGGCTAATGCTTAGATGGAAAGGCCAAAATACTCCATATATTTGGAGTATAATTCATATAATTCAAGTTAGCAACAACAGATTTCTGGGGTTTATACTTTGTCATGGCAGTTCAAGTGAGAACCTTAGTGTTATTTTAGCAACTTCTTCAATTTAATTTATTTAATGAGCCTAAGAAGCAAATCTGTGTTTTTGACCCACATTCAACATTAGAGAGGATTGTTAGCCCCCATCTGCTCATTAGATAATTGGCACAGTTGCCTTTGTGTTTATAATGATTATTTGAAAGAGGCTTGCTAATTGTGCTGCTTTGATAGCTTTTAATTTTTAGGTTCATTTGGTACAAATTTGTTTTTTAAAAAAATTGCTATTAATACTCAGAATGTGCATTGCAGGATTTATGTCTGAAGCCAAGTTTTAAAAAAAATCAAATACTGTTTTTCTGCGTGTAAGTTTCCAAACTTTAAATAATTAAATACTGTCACCGAGCGTGGGCTCAAGCACAAGTTCGTGAGAAAACATTGGCTTGTGGTGAGGGCCATTTTCTTTCAAACCCACTTCTTACTTTGCACGACGGCCGTCGCGCTGGCGCTGAGCACCCGAGGACACAAGCAGAGGGCAGGTGCCTCGTGCCGTGGTGGTGCCTTCCCCCAGGCGGGAGCGCGGCCCGGCGCCAGCGCGGAGCTCTGCGGGAGCACCCGCGTGTCACAGCTCTTCCCGGTTGCTGTTGCGCTCTTGACTGAAATGGACTTAAAGCACTCTCCCTGCAAGGATTTTTTGTAGTAGCTCCTCTGTTCTGAACAGTAAATCTTTCTGCTTCAAGCTATTTTTGTGTCTAAGCGTGTGCATATATATGTTTCATTAATGGATCTTCAGAAAACCCATCAGCAACCGTTAGCATTACCACGTGCTTCTGAGCAGGTAAGAGGGAACTGGAATCACACACATGCACACACACCTTTCCAGTTGAGAAAAAGTAATTGTAGTAGCCACTGTACAAGAGCATGCTTGTGATGAGTTTTCCTAGTTATCTTTGAGCAGAAAGGCAGAGGGAGTTGTGTGTGTCGCGACAGAGGTTTTCAGTCTTGGAGCAGCATGATTTCATGTACGCTGTGACTCTGTTGATGTCTCTTGGTGGTGTGATAGTGTCTCCCCGGTTGGAACTGCACCTAGGAGGGCTGCAAATGACTTGTCACGTCTAAGTGTTCAGCTCTCCTAAGGAGTCTGGGAAATGTAATGCAGGGCCACAGACGGTACTGAAATGAAATTTCAAATAAAATTAAAAAGATGCGTATTTCAATATCTTTTCTAATAGCAACGTTTTCGTGATCTGGATGAGAGAAAGCGTATTCTTATGGAGAACTGCAGGGAACTGCTGAAAAAAGCTCGACAGGTGTGCAAGCTGACTCCAGACCAGCATCTCCCAAAAGAATTTCAAACTGTACGTACAAAAAATAAATCTTCACCTATTTGTTAAGTTTTATATAAGGTACACTTTTTAAAAATTTCTTAAATTTTGTATAAGGTTGCATTGTCACCCTTCCAGAAAAGGGTATTACGTATTTAATGCTAGTGGTGTACCAGTAAGGGGTGATGGGAATTTTTGGTACTACTGACTTTGGAATATTGCTTACCCTTTTAAAGCACCTTTAAATAGTGAACTAATAAAAACTAGGGTGTCCAGTGACTATTGCTTTGTTCTGTGCAGAGGTGAGAGGAAATCTGATCAGAAATTTCAGTTTAAATCCACATTCTTCTATTTGTAGTTTGAGGCCATATTCCTCTAGCTTATTGCTCTGTCAATAGCAAGATGAAAGCAATGGGATCTGGCCTGGCTGCCTCCCAGGAGGTCTCCCTGGGCTTGCTGCATCCCTGGAGGTCCTCCCAGCCTTGAGGGTATCTGTACCGCATAGCTCACGTAACCCCCAGCTTGTACCAAGTCTGAGAAAAATCTGTATGTGCACAAGGTAAGCAACTAAGGAGCAACTGTATGTCTGTAGTAACACTGGAGTCTTCTTTCTCAATCCAGAATAGTTTGATGGCATTTTTTTGATATAAATTTGAATATATCTGGTGTCCTGAATAAAAGTAATGTAATCTTGTCTGGCTTGCTTGGTTTCTTTTTAGCAAACTTCACTACTTCATTAGCCTTGCTGTAAAACATATATGTCCTTTTTCTTGTAGGCTTTTCAGACTCTTCCGAGTTCGTTGGAGGAAATTGATGCTTTCCTGAATGAGGAGAAATCCAGGGCCTCCTGTTTCACAGGCCTGAATGCTTCCGTATGTTTGCTGCTTTCTCTCCCTGCTCCTTTCTTCCCCCTCCACCCTTATTGTGCTTGCTTCCCACTCACTACTAGATCTCTTGGAATAATAAGCTGGACAGCAGGAACAATGTGCTGTAAATGCCAGATGCTGCAACTGTTGGAATTTTAAGTAGGTTCTTCCAGAGGAACAGTGTGTTTTGGTACCTGTACCAAAAAAAGTTGCAGTAACCTGAAATAAGCAATGGTTTACGGTGCTTTTTTTGTTGTTTGTTTGTTTTTGCTTTAAAAGTAGAAGCATATCCATATTTAGTTCGGTATAGAGTGCAGTAAGTTATGATTGTATTTGAACAGAATCTCTGCAGTGTGATATTTTCATAGTCAAGGCTAGAAGTGATAAAAATTTTGTTGACTGCTTATTTTTTTCATTCTTGTAGGTTGTTGAAGAATACAGTAAACGGACACAAGAAATACAACAGCTGATGGAAGAACTAGAGGAAAAGAAAAATGTACTGGAAAACTATAGACAAAATATTTCACAGGTAATAGTTGAAATTAGCCCTTCTGAGCTGTGTGTCCTTATTAGAATACAACATATTTAGAAAAGTATAAACATGTAATTTTAACATATGCTGTTATTATTGCTACTTATATTAATAGGTATATTTAATATGCATACAAACTATAAAAATATTTGGATAAGTATGTATGGTTCGGGAAACGTTTCAAGTTTTCTGGAGGTTAAACTGAGATGTTAATTTCTGTAACTAAGAAAGGAAAAATTCAGTTGAAGATATTTTTACACGAGTATTTCTATTTCTAGGTCAAAGAAAAATGGCTAAGTCCCTTGAAAAATCTGGTTGAGCAAATCAATGAGAAGTTCAGTAACTTTTTTAGCTCTATGCAGTGTGCTGGTGAAGTTGATCTTCATGTTGAAAATGAGGTATGATATAATTTTCATTCAGAAGAGTAATGAACTCACATTTTCATGAATCTTCCTATACTTTATTCATTGCTAGAGATATAATCCAAATTTAAAATTATTATTCTAAGAGAGATGATCTTTTAAAGGCTCTTCATGTTTTAACTAACGAACAAACCTTTCTTGAAATACTAGAACTGACTGAACTGTCTGACCAAAGCAAAATAAATCTTTGACCAGTTGCATAGTCAACAATTTTGACTATTAGAAGCTTCTTGCAACTGAATAAGCAATCATCTATCTCTAAGACTAAATTCATGCCTCTTATATTTTCATTTAAGATTGATTTTGAGAATGTTTTTTAAATTTTAAATTTCTGGAAATATTTATGTGTTCTGCCAAAGTAGTACCCTTCAGAGAAAGCAACAAGTGTTTCAGCTGAGCATATTTCTGAATTAAGAATACTTTCCCAGCTTCTTTCTTTTCACTGCAGTAGATCAAAGTTAGCGCCTTAGTTTTTGTCCTCTTTGTTTTTCCCTAACTTACAAAGCTCGGTTAGAAGCACTGTATTTATTTTAACTCTAACTCTAATTTGCTGTGTTAGTGATTTACCTCTGATTTTATTAGCTACTTTGTGCTATTCTGTTACCATGTAGTAGCTATTTGATGTTATACTGTTTTTCTTCTACATGTGGTTATTTTAAAGCATTTAGACTGCTGGGGAGCAGTAGGAATCCAGCCTGTTATGCCATCAGTAACATTTATAGGCAGATCAAAAGTTTAAAGCCTCACTAGTGCCTTGGGGAGACATATTCAGTGGAGTGGGCAGAATCGAAATTGGATATTTTGTTTAAGATTCATCTCTGTAGTGATGATTTTAAGAGTGCTTTGTTCAATGCGTACATTCCACAACAGTGAAAGCTGACACTTAAACATTTTTTGCTGTTGTAAATTACTCAAGCATTTCTTAAAATATTTAAAGTGGTAGTTATTACTGGAGGCAGAAACAAACTGAAAAACCGCTTTACATGAGCAATGTATGAAGTGTTTGTTCATATAGAAATTAGTATTATGAAACAGTGCATTAAAGCATGGGCTTTTCAGTTTCTTATGATAGTTACTTACAGAGTCAGATGTATATTAAACATACTGTCATTTATCTAAAAATAAAAAGGTTGGGAGAGAGTACACAGAAAAACAGTTCAAAGCAGTTTAAAAACCGGGGGAGTCTGGATTGTTTTTCTGAGTATCTGAAAGGACCACTTTGGAAAGTCCTTTTTTTTTTTTTTTTTTTTTTTCCTGTTGCGAGGGTTTTACAAATGATATAAAATGTAAAGTAGTGGTACAACGTCAGTTATGTTAAACATCTTTTCCCCAAGAAACACTGATGCGGAGGAGTGGCTGATCTGTTCTGGAGCCAGGACTCCTTGGCTCGCCCCTGCGGGAGGCTCCTGGCCCTGGCCCGTGCCTATCCGGAGAGCCCCTAGCAGAGTTATCCGGAGAGCCCCTAGCAGAGTTATCACTGCTGCAGGTGTTTCTGCAGCCCCAAAGGAAGGTCAGGCCTCTTGCAGGAACCTTGAGCTCTGGCAGTGTCTGCCGGCCCTGGTGCTCAACCCTGCTCTGTAAAGCACTTCCCTGGCTCCTGCCTTGGCATCCCAGTGGAAACTCAGTGAAACTTTGTGGTAGCAGGGTGTGAGTGCTTGCTCTGATGATCCTTCCCTGCATCGATGCCCCGCAGAAAGGGGACCATGCCCTTGACAGGCCATGGAGTACGTGACAGCAGCCTGTCGACAAAATCCCAAATTTATGCCACCACTGTGACTCCAGGGGAGCCCAGATGTTCCTCACCAGATGTTCAGCCAGGCCATAGCACTGGGTGCTTCTCCCAGCCTGCTTGCAGCCTGCGTCAGGGCATCTGAAGCTACTGTGGACCCAGAAGACCTAGGGATCTGTTTTCTGTTTCTCTATGTGAAGTGATCATGTTCTTGGTATCCCACAGGAGGCTGAGAAATTTTCCGAAGAGTGTAATTTTCTGTTGCAGAACAAATGGGAATGAAATCATAAATGCATCGACATTTTTTGCATTGATACTTTAAGTGTTGCTGATCATCAACAAATGAGACTGTGGGTCTTTTGAGTCTGAGCTGGCAATCAAGTACCAAATCCTACTCAAATGGAAAGAGTTAATTTAAGTGACAATGCTGTTATCTCTGGGGAGTCTTTCACTAGCTCCTGTCAGCAAATTACCCCCTCAGAAAGGTCAGCCCAACAGCATTAGTTTGTTTTGAAAGCACTCGCAGTGGTTTTACAGCTGAGGTTCCCGATTTTCAGCTGTGGCTCTCAAGGCACAAACACACAACTCTTGTCCACGCTCTGGTACCTCGTGAGCTCAGGCCATTCTTGAGTGTCAAACTTGTATTAAAGAAAAGGTCAGAACCAGAATCCCTCTGTGTGTTTTTCCTGACCCTGGCTGTTGTGGTGGATTTTGTAGGGCTTTTGTATCTCATCTACTAGTGGAGGAAATGTAACCTCTCATCCTATTTTGGAGTAAAGTTTCAGAAGGATTTAACTGGCGTGCTTGCGTTTGGAAAGTATCAGATTAGATGTTTCCCTGGGAGCCTAACTTTTTTTTTTTTTTTGTGTGGCTGTCCCCCCACCACTGTTTAAGCTAAGACGTACCTTGGTGCATTTTTTGAATCAGTGTAATTTCTAGTGGTGTTACTTTCTGTTTTTCTAGCCAAGACGTTTATTTGTTGTCAAATCCTTAATGCATCTGAAGTTTTTCTTACAAGGGATTCAGAAATGAGTAAATCATTGTTGTGGGGAAGGAGTATGTGGAAAAGGATGTCTATCTAAAAACAGATTAAAATCTAGGAAACCTTATGAAATAGCGCAAATATATCAATGTTAGTTTGGCCTTGAGTAATCAATAGACACTTACAGAGTGTAGGACGTAGATTTCCTTTCATTTATGTTTTTCTTATCAAATAAGCTGTGCTTCCTTTTATAGGAGGAGTATGACAAATACGGTATTCGCATTAGAGTCAAATTTCGTAGTAGCACTGAGCTCCATGAATTGACTCCATACCATCAGAGTGGAGGTGAGAAAAGTGTTTCAACTATGTTGTACCTGATGGCCCTACAGGAACTCAACAGATGTCCTTTTAGGGTTGTAGATGAAATAAATCAGGTAAGATTTAGTAGTGCAATATAGTCTTGTTATTTACAAATGTTTATGAAATAGTTGAGGGAAATGATTTTCTTTTTTTGCTTTTTTAAGGGAATGGATCCAGTCAATGAAAGAAGAGTTTTTGAAATGGTTGTGAAAACTGCTTGTAAAGAAAGCACATCTCAGTACTTCTTTATTACACCAAAGGTATGTGATAGGAAATCAGATGTTTTGGGGATACATAATAAAAAAGTCAGTTTTAAAAGTTCCATTCACTGTTAAATTATTAAGACTAGATAAGGAAGAAAATAAAGCGTGCAGTACTAAGCAGAAAGCCTGGAATGAAAATGAGAAACAGGAAATGAGAAATTCCAGGTTAGAAAGAAAAAATGCATTTATCATTAATGACAAGAGGAAGATCAAGGACTATGTCAGAACATTATTCAGCAGCAAGAGATGGCTGAAGATTGTTTGTTTGTTTGGGGGGCTTTTCACTGTTCTCTAGGATCAACCACAAGTAGGTGATTAGCACAGTAACCTCTGGTGAGGCTGTAATGGGCCACCACAAAGAACCCTAATGAGCGTGTGCTTCGTGTTAAGCTGGTCATGGGCTTCATATTAACTGACGAGGTGGTTTGGGTGGGCTGCATCAGCAGGTAACTAAAAGGCTGTTGAGAACAAGCTGAAGAGAAAGTTTAGACCCTGCAGTTCCAGTGACTAACGTGTGGTTCCTGGAAGAATTACTGGAGCCTTCGTCATGTGTAATTCCTTATTAGAAAGTGAGAGATGGCATAAGGCAACAAATTGTCACATTAATCTAAATTCCTTTTATGTATGCTGTGCATGCAGGAAGAATTGTTATCTTAGTTTTTTCAGTATGTTTTTGACACTTTTCCTGGATACTCTTTTAAGCAAACGTCAGAGGGGAGAGGGTATGGATTAATATGCAGTAGGGTTGATTAGGAAAATTGTTTTCTGAATAGTCATGATTCACTATTAAAATGAACAGATGAACTGAATGTGTTCTTCAGGAGCAATTCTTTGCTTTGAAAATCAGTGTTTCTAATACCAGTCTATGAAGAAATAGAGTATGCTTATTAAACTTGCAAATAACCACCATGTTGGGAGTGATTGCAGCTTTGCTGTAAAGCAAGATTAGAATTCAAAACAATCTTAGATTAGATTATTTGAAAACAGGATGCATTTCAGCAGGGACAAGCATAGGTCTCTATTTAAATGGAAGTAATCAACAACAACATCCAGACTAAGGAATAAAATGCCTAAATGAATGGGGTGGTGGGAAATTATAGCAGATCATAAGTTGAGCATAAGTTGCAAGTAAACTGCTGTTCTTAGCAGTACAAATGGCCAAATAGCTTGCAAGATACATAAAGTTTGTTGGTTTGCTGAACTTGCTGCTGATGAGACCTTGACTAGGGTAGGAATGTTCAGTTTAGGCTATCACGAGATGAGAACACTCCAGGAGGCAAGAGTGCAGCTTGTGAGAAGGGGGGAGAGCTTGGCTTCCCACTGAGGAATTCACTTATCTCAGAGGAGGACGAGGCTGAAGAGAGACAAAACAACTGTGGCCAAATATCTCTTCTCTCCCTCCTCCCTCTAACGTAACATCATTTGGAGCAAAAGTACAGATATGAAGGAACATTTTGCCATATTAAGAACAGTGATGCATTAAAACAGGTTGCCTGAGGGAGGAGTAGAGTTTTGTTGGACACTTGCAGGAATGAATTCTGAAAGAATATAAAATCGATCTTGCTATATTGGCCTTTTGAGGTCTATTGCTTTATGTAGACCACATTCATCATCTTTAGATAGTGGGCAACACCTTTTGTTCTGCTTATTTTTACTGTGTTTTTCCCTAGCTCTTGCAGAATCTGACTTACAATGACAAGATGACGGTGTTGTTTGTCTACAATGGACCTTTTATGATGGAAGCAAATAAATGGGACTTAAGAGCTTTCTGCAGGCGACGGCGGCGAGTTGGAAGGATGGACGAACAATGACACAGACATATATGTGTATATATGTTTCTGTGTGTGCATATAATGTAAACTTTTGGGATAATCTTTCTTGAACACTTGGCGTTTGGGACTTGAAAACTGTAAAAGATGAGAACTTATGAAGAACAGATGATTAAGATCTTCTGTTCTTTTGTAAAATGTAGGAAAAAAAATCTTTTTTTTTTCCCCAAATCACTTTTAGTGTTCTTTCTCCAAAGAAACTTCTTGCCCTTAGCAGTAATTTTAAATAGAAAGGTTGTTTCTTCTGTCTTATTGGTAAGGGCTCCTCTAATGTAAGCATATAACATCAGAAATACAGCTATTGTTTTTTCTTGATTACTTTAGCCTAATTCTTTGACTGTTGTTTGTTTGTTTGTTTTTCCCCAGAAAATTGAATTTACTTTTGGTAAAAATTGTTTTAACTCAGAGGGTTAAGGGCATATTGCAAACTTCTGCTATTGAAAAAGAAACTTTCTGAGTGCATGAGTGATGTGTGAAGCCAGAGTGGTTTGTAAGTAACTGCTATTTGCTTTTTTCTTTTGTGAAAATATAAAGAATATGCTATTTTTTAGTCAAATACTTTATTATTGTTACTTATTTTTGAGCTAGTGCTTCTATTTTTATTCCTGGGCGAATTCCCCCTCTGCACACTGCCCACCCCCCCAGCAAAACCTAGGAGCTAGGATTTTTTTTGAAAGAAAGAGATAGCTTGTAGAAATAAAGCTGAGCAATATGTAACTTCTTATTTATTTATCATAAATAAGACCTAATATGTTTTTTGCTGATAGATGGAAAAAGTATTCTTGTTGATTTCACATGTAAAAGTGTCCTGGTTTTAACTTCCAAGGCTTCAATTACAGTGGAGTGGTTGTAGACGCAATAGCTGTTTGACAAATAGCCATAAAAATCTACTAATGGGTTTTGGTTACAGGTATTAAATATTTGAAAGTAGATGTTATCAATAGAACACTAATGCCTAAAACAAAATACCAGTTATTCATTTAAATATTACACTTTTTGAACTGAGTACTGAATTGTGAAGAATATGTTTTGTAAAGAAATTGAAACTGTCACCTGTATGTAAAAGGTAATGTCTCCCAGAAGGCTGCCAATATGCAGCAGCATCCTTGTTTTGATAGAATTTCATGCAAAATTTGCCATCCATTGATTTTGGGTGGGAGTTTTACTTGGCAACTTTCTACCAGTGAACTTCGCCACTAGAACTTTTATGCCTGTCTTTTAACATGAAAATGGTATGTTAAAAAGACAACAAGAATGCCCACGCCAAATAACTAGGTTCCGAAAAGTTTCAAAGATTGGAATTAAAAGAAAGAACTTTGGTTCCTGTTTTAGATAAAGGAGCCTTTAAGGGATAGGGAGCTACAGCTTCCCACGTCACAGGCAGAACAGTGACTGCTGTGATCAATGGAGCTCTGTCCTGCTCGGAAACGAGTTCCTGGAATTAGTTCCATGAGGATTAGTGTCCATACACAAATATTTGACAGAAGAGCTAAGTGAGAGTGGAAACTCGGGCTGTAGTCCAGGGACTGAGTGGGCAGGAAGAGTCTTCTGGACTTAACTGAGGTTTGCAGAAGCTAAAATCTGTGAACCACATGGCGGGATCTCTTTCAAATGGGTTTGTTGACCTCAAAATATTTGCCATCTAGGAGCCCTGATTAATGGTGAGTCAGGGCTGACCAGGGAGCTTGTAGGAGCCCTGAACCTGTAGGGTTAGTTAATGGTCAGTTCTTCCCTGTCTGGACAGCATCTCTGCTTCAGGCTGCCATCTTGGGAATTTGCAGGATTTCTTGCTAGAGTTTTGGTGGGTGGATTGTTTGTTTGTTTGTTCTCCCTTGTGTTCCAGGCTGAGGTACGTACTACAAGCTTGTCTTTCACTTGCAGTAGTGGAATTCTGCCTTTTCCTCTTGATAGTGTACTTCCTGCTGGATGAGGATGAGGGCTTGCGAGTGTTGCCTTTTCTCCTTGCAGCTGTCGCTGCTGACCCAAAACGCTGCCAGTATCTTCAGCAGTAACAAGAGTGTGTCACTCCATACACTGTCACTCCATACCTTCCTCCAGACAGTGTGACAAGCAGCAAAGCTCTACCACAACAGCAGGATAGTGGCCCGAGGGCTTCACTGGCCGCTAGTTAACACCTTTCTTGGCAGGGGGAAAAGAAAAAACTCACTGCTATAAAAGCAGCTACTGCGAATTGCAAGCAGGCTGTAAGCAAACGTGTGTGCCTCACATGTGCATGTTTCTGTGGGAAACCCGATGGTTCCTGGGCAGGTGCCTCCTTGCTGTGTTTGGGAATATGCTGACACACAGCGGGTCTTCCCGTGGGGTACCGTGTTCAGCCGCGAGGACCCCCACAAGTCACCGAGTGGAGCTGCAGTGTCACCTGTCCTTCCTTAGCTGTGTGCAGCACCCTTGTGTTGCTGCCAGCTTCCTTGCTGCTCCTCAGGGTTGGGTTTTTTTTTGCTTCCACCCAGCCCCTCTGGGACAGTTGCTACACAAGCACAAGAGATCAATTTCAATATTATTGTGAGGAGGGGGACATGGGTGGCAGCTAAGGTTAAACAGGCATCTAATATCCAACTTTTACTGCAGCTAGACGAGACCTCTGAAAAGCAGAGAAATGGGAGGACCCTGAGTGTTCCTGAGAGGTGAAGTGTAAATTGAGTTTCACCTTTGCTGTATTCCACGGCAGAGGCCTTGGCAAGCTGCGTGCTGCCCTCGTGCAGAGCTGGGAGCCGGCTGTTCCTGGAGCGGGAACGCAGGAGGGAGCTGATGGGCCGGTCGCTGACCGGAGCAGGAATACAGGGGGGAGCTGATGGGCCTCTGTGCGGGGGGCAGCAAGTGGCTCCGCCGCAGGCAGGAGCCCTGCAGGGGCCAGAACGTGCATCGCGCTAGGCCGGAGAGCAGGTGAATTGGGTGAATTAACACTACGGGAGGCCTCGTTCATTGTTCAGATCCACCTTCCTGCTTTTTCATTACTAAGCAATTTAGCTGATGCTTCCTTTCTAGAAGCTGCTGGCCCATCTTCAAACTCCTCTTCATGTACTTTGTAGAAATACGGTTACTTTCATGAGCCTATGGTTGCTTGCTTGTTCCCTCAGCCTTTTATTTTCCTGGTCATCTTTTACTAGTAAGTGTTAATATTGCCTTGCCCAGTTCCAGTACCAGTTCTTTATGTTTCCTAGAAAGGAAATAAAAGTGTTAGGTCAAGCAAGTGTGTGAGATGAGGCAGTTATTCCCTTTTGCAAGCACGTGCGTATCTCTTAGTGCTAGTGC